AATTGCCCATTGTTCTGTAACAGGTAGTTAATAAGATAGGATTTCTATAACATTGGCATTATTTCATAATACTATGTGAACTGAGAAGGATAATGAACTAGTAATGCAAATTAGGAATGCATAGAAAACTGGGACTAGTTTGTCTCTAGTGTAAACTGTTTCTAATTCTAAAACTGTTTTTATTTTGTGTGTTCTTTTTCTAATCTCAAGGAGGTGTCAGAACTTTCTGAATACTTCAGATAATCAGTTAATCTGATTAGTTTGGAGTTTAATCCTGTAGCCCACTTGAAAAGTTCACTTTTCCTCTTCTGCTTAGTAACACTTGGCAGACAGTAGTTCTGCAAGATTGGAGTGTGTAAGGATTGACCCTAGAACCTCACTCTTTTCACTCTCGTGCTTGTAGAGAGTGATCTACTTTCATTTGTATTCCTGTTTCTCTTTCACGATGCTGATGCTAGAGGAGAGAGATTGGAATTATCTCCACTTTAAGTGCCACCTTTGTGCTCTTTTATGCCTGCTTCTGTTTCTCTGGCTAACATTGATTAGACCTCCTAGACCTCATACCTACTGTGGAGTAAGAGAGACATCCTAGTTATGATTTGTATATATCTTTGTGGCTGAGAGGGGGGTTGGGGGGAGCATTTTAAGATTGAAGCTCAGTTACTTGTACAGTTGTATCACATTTTTCTATTACTAATGGTAATTCTAGTTCATCGCCCCACTAGCCAACTTCAAGTCCTTTTTCTTCTTCTCAAATGGTCACTGGGAGGGGAATGACCTAGAATAGTAAGCAAGCCTAAACACAAGCAGAGGTCCAGGTGGGAAAACTCACCAGCCTTCCCTCTTTGTTAATTTGTTTTACTCAGTTTTGCTTGATTTGAACCCATGGCAATAGTAAAGACTCTGTAGATCAACTCTCTTAAAATGGGTTTGGTTTGAGGGCTCTAACTGGGAAAAGATGACCTAGGAGAGGAAAAGGTATTTTATTTTTTTGTAGTAGTTTCTCACATGTTAATCTGTTTTAAATACCTCACTAATGATTCTTTGTACTTACTCTTGGTTTCTAAGTTTAATTAGAGTGGATAAGCGCCCACCTGATATCCTGTTATATAAAATTTTCCATAGATTTGAATGGTATTTGCATTCTTCATGGTTACTATCCAGTTTGACCACATCAACTGGAATGATCCCTTCAAAAGATAAAGTAGATTTTGTCATTGAAGTCAGAATGCTGCTAGGGTTTTCTCTATCAATTAAAAAAAAATCCTTTTTGTGGTCTGTAATATGCCACATATTCTTATTATAGGTTAAAACATTGACCACTTGTTCCCATCTCAAACTTTTATCCTCACTGTTCTCTATCTTTTGTACTCTTACCCCAAGTTATCTTTGAACTCAGCATTTCATTCTTTAAATGTCACTTCCTTTGATTTTCTTAAACTACTGTTAAAATAGTATCTATTTGTCACCTGTTTCCATAACTTGCTTTCAGTTTTTGCTTATATGTGAATAATTTTTATGCATTTACATTTAGTATTATGTTATCTATCTCTTTCGTTTGCATATAATTTTCAAGAGGCCATTCCACTGATTTTGTTGTTCAACATAACCACCTAAAATTGGACCTGATCCACTGAGATAATAAATATTTTTAGTTAAATGAGTAAATGCATGAATAAGTGCTAACTTCTATCCTCAGATTTTAGAAATAGCTTTGATTTATTCCCAGTTCATTCAGTATTCTACATAGTGAATATAATAAAATACAAATTGTTTTTGAATAGATTTATAAAAATTATTCCTTTTTCAGTATTTTTTTAAACCACACTTGCTATGCTCAAGGCTTACTCCTGACTCTGCTGACTCCTGACTCAGGGCTAATTCCTGGTAGGGCTCATGGGATCATTTGTGGTGCCAGGGATCAAACCCTTGTCTGCTGCATGGAAGGCAAAAGCTTTTCCCATTGTACTATCTATCAGACCCCAGACTTTTTAAATCATTCCTAACTATATCTTCTCATTGTTGTTACAGTTGAACCATTCAGACCTCTTTATCTTGCATATTACTGCTAGGATTTTTAAAAATTGCATACTATTCTTTGAAATAAAATACTCCAAATTTTCTTAGCACAGTTGGGCCTATGCCTGTTGTCTGTTTTATAATCATAAGCTTATTATTAGTGTACCCTAAATGTTAAGTGTGCTTCTTCTCTTACTTTTATACCTTTACTCAGAACTTGATCCCTTTATCCTTACTACAATAAATTTTACTACTGAACGAATGTATACAATCTTGACTGTAGTCATGAGAAGACATCAGCAGGTTTAAAATTTGAAATAAGCTATGTAGTAAGCAGTCGTAAACTGAATATGTAGAGTTGCAGTTTAGTCTATCATTTATGAATATTAACAAACCAAATTGTCTACTGAGTTTCTCTAATGTGTGGTAAGAGTTTCTTACTTTTGGTCAGTTATTTAAAAATGACATAAATCCAGAAGAGCATCCTAAACAAATATTTTAAATTAATTTTGAAGGTAAGGGTAATCTACATGTTTTAATTTACACTTTTTTGTAGAATTTATGTATATATGAATGATTATTGATTTTTCATCTTCAGAAAATTTAAATAAAATGAGTAAGAAAACAGATTTAGAAAAGTAACAGTCTAATGCAACATTTGAAGAATTGTGATCTTTTGATAGAGTACAAAACTTGATTTTTTTGGTTTATATGTCATTATGTGAGTGATAGAAGAGACTGAACAAAGGAAATGAAGCTATTTTATGTCAACAATTAAAATCAATTGCTTTCTATGGATAAACCTGCTCCAAGTTATATTCAGTATCACATCTGACTTTGAGGAAAATATATATTCTTGGAATATGTGGCAGTGTTCCAAAATTATAATTAGAATTTTTTCACATAGAGTAATAAAAAATGTTGGGCTGAGATTGTGACTTGGGGATAGAACACTTGTATTTTTATATGGGAGGCCCTGGGCTCAGTTTTTCTGTACTGCTAAAACAAATTTACACACACAAAAAAACGATTTGTCATTATGGTCTGTTTCAGAAAAAAAAGCTAAAAATATAATCAAACTGTTGAATAAAGGATTATGATACTATGTAACATACGATAAGGTACTAATAAGTTTTAGTACCTTATCTTTGTTTACTCTTATGTAACATAAGAGTAAACAAAGATAAGGTACTAATAAGTTTTAATTGTTTGGCATATTTCTATTCAAGTTCTTTCTATTTCTGATAATAGATCAAATATTGTATCATATGCTTTATGAGAATTATTTTAATTCAGTCATTAGAACATCCCTGTGTTAGCTGTGTTACCCATTTTATATTAAGAGAAACTGATTCTCATTTTAGATATTTTGGTTAGATAACTCCTGCTATTTCTTTGGTTGGACGTGTTAATATCATTTGTCAATACGTCTTTCCATTTTTAGGGGGAAATCACAGTGCCTTTTATTATTTAAATAAAAATATGTGGTTCATTCTCTGCTCCCATGGTATCTTGGAAGTAATGTATTTTTTATTTAGTCAGTATTTTTGCAAAAAATTCTATATTCCTTAAGTCTTTTACACAAACCCTACATAGAACTGTGACACTCCTTACTCTTTCATCCCTACCACCTCCTGCAAATTGACAGAAATAATATTTATATTGTGTCTTACTTAGAACAAATTTAAGAATGCTGAATGGAAATTGTCTTGCTGACTTCACTAAGTATATGCCATTATAAGTAGCACTGTCCTCCCGTTGTTCATCGATTTGCTCGAGCGGGCCTAGTAACGTCTCCATTTTGAGACTTGTTACTGTATTTGGCATATCGAATACGTCATGGGGAGCTTGCCAGGCTTTGCTGTGTGGGCGAGATACTCTTGGTAGCTTGCCGGGCTCCCCGAGAGGGACGGAGGAATCAAACCTGGCTCGGCCTGGCTGGCCGCGTGCAAGACAAATGCCCTACCGTTGTGCTATCACCACTATAAGTAAATTTTGACATAACAAGTGAGATTCAAAAAAGACTGCTGAAGGAAATTCCTTGTAATGATCTGTTAGAATTTACCACAAAGCACCCTAATCTGACAGGAACTTAAATGTGAATATTTTGAAAGCATTAACTGTTACCTCTTCAGAGTAAAAAGCATACTTGCTGTCTAGACATGGAATATTAGAAAGGTAGTACTGTCTAATCTGTAATTCATTAATATTTTTTAGAATAATTTTAGGATTTGATCTTCTGATTCCATAAGAGATACAGATGGGTGTAGTAACTTTTTGCATTTATAAAGGTTAAGGAGATGAAGACTGTATTTAGATTCTAACTCACTGTGATTAAAGGTTTAATTTTATATGAGATTATTTTTAAAGTTTCTTATATAAAGACAATTTTAAATGTCTAGTTATAGAGGACTAGTTATGTACTAAAATTGTTCTTACAAATATAATTTAATATTGCACAATGATTTCTTTGTATATTTTAGATATTTTCATGTAACTTACATTTCATTCCTGATAATAAGTCTATCTTGTTCACCATTCCTTGAATTGTCATCTAAAACAATAGCTTTAAATTAACTGAACAGAGTGGAGACTTACTGTACGTTTGCCTAAATTTAAATTATAGAGAATTATGTTATCAACTGGTATTTAATGTTTGGATTTAATTTTTCACATATATGTTTTAACATTGGTTTGTAGTTATGCCGTGAATCGAATAATTGTATTTCAACTTTTTTTTTCATTTTTAACATTAAAATTTAAAAATAAATGATAGCCTATCTGTGTAGGGCTCCTGTAAATAATGTGTTGTGTTTTACTGTGGCATAGTTTTCAGAGCCACTTTTGTTATGAAATATTTTCACTTTCTATAGTACTTTTCATCCCTGTATATATGTACAGGAGTCACTTCACCCACCACCGAATTGCAGCCACTTCTGAGGTGGAACGCAGCAACTGTTTAACAGCGCACTTTCCCCTAGGTGCTGACAGCTGCAGAAGAAATTGTACTGGCCCTGTACAGAAGGTATTTCTCCACTGTGCCATCTGCAGAGTGAAACTGACTAGGAGTACTACATAGACTGTAAGTTTCCTGTGTACCTGCCCTAGACTGGAAAACCAAATAAAGAGAGTAACAGATAACCAGGAAGCATCATTTTAAAATGTATTGAGGCCAGTTACACTTAGTGCTGCTCTTGCTGTCTCTGAATTTTATTTTAAGGTCATCGAAGTTGTGATCGATATTAAACTGAGTAACAAATTAATAGGCTCCTTGGGAATTATTCTAAGAGCATATGAAAGAAATGCTTGCACAAAATTCCACTTTGAAAAAAGAATGCATTTATATTTAAACATTTTGAATAATCAAGCCAATATTATGTAAAATTTTAGGTTTATATTAAAGTAGCAAATGAGCATATAATTCAACAGAACATCTTAATTTTCTCTGCTTTCAGTGTTTTATAAATTAATCTTAATAATCTTACTGTTTGGGGGGGGCCAAAGAAATAGCTCAGTGGATGGGGTTCTTGCCTTCCCTGGCACCCCATAATGTCTTCCTGGGTAATGCCAAGTGTGGCCCCAAATAAACAAAAAACCCTTTCACTCTGGGTGGAAAGTTTTTCAACAAAGCTAGTTTATGATTAACTTTTGATTCTTTGCTTTAGAAACATTGAATTAAAATCTTTTGTTTCTATATTGAAACAAAACATGGGAGAATGATTCGAGCTACTTCGTGTATTTTAGCCTCTCCAATTTAATTATTTTCATTTTCCCATTGGAAATTGTAACTTCACACAACTGATATATCTGTAGTCGTAGTTTGGCATTTTCAATCTTTATAGCATAGGTAAACCACATTAAAATGTACAATGTGTTTTGAAGAAAATGTAAATTGCTATATTTTATTATTTAGCTTTTAGACAGTAGTATCACATTTATTTTTTATTGTTTTTTTTTTTATTCTAAGTCTATAGACATTTCTGTTTCAAAACAAAGACTTCAGTCTTCACAGACTGAACATATGAAGGATAGTGCCATTTAATTTTTTGGTAGTTCTAAATTATGTCATACATTTAATTACATTCTATACATCTCTCTGCATATAGATTGTCAGTTACAGCAGATAAAAGCTCTCTGGGTCAGTTTACTTGTAAATGAGGTGGGTGGAAGAAGCCATTTCCTCTAAATCCTTTAAATGTTTTCTGTTGAGCTTGGGTAGAATTCTTATGTACTTAGAATTGAACCTTATGTAACTGAGATAATTTGGTACAAGTGATTTTGTTAAAGCTAGAATATTGAGTTGAAGTAAGTGCTGAGTGATGGTATTTTAAAGTCAAAAGAGGAGGAGATCTTTTTTCATAAAAAGATTTATAGCTATCACTAATTTGGTAGTATAGCTACCCACACTGTTTTGAAATATTTTTTTGAAAATTAAATACAGTAAAATGTTCTCCCTTTAAATTTTCATTGAGGCATCATGATTTAAATCAACCCATCATATATGCATCAGGTAAATTAGAAAAAAATAGGTTCTGTTTATGTTCAGAATGAAATTAAATGTTACTAAAACATAAATTAATGAGATTTTCCTCCTAATTTGCATAGACTTAATACTTCACTCAATAATCCAAATATTGAAAAAGTAAATATTAAAATCCCAAAGATGTAGCTTATAAGTAATATATTGATGCATCTCTTGCAAAAGGGTATTCTATTAGTATAACAAATATTTGATTTGCTCTCATTGGTACTCTTGCATTTTCTGCAAACAATGTAATTGTAAGTATTGCTTACTTCCATTTATCATACTGACTGAAGTAATATTTGACAGTGTGGTTTTTTGCAGTAATACTTGGTGAAAAGGTACAAACTATAACTGTTGTATCTGAGTATATATACATATATATATATTACAGAGGTATTTAATTGTTATATGTTAGGCCTTTGTGGGTAATGTAAATTCAGTAACTTACTAGATTTAATTTTAAATCATAATGACATATTTACATTCTCCCACTGTATGGCATTTGGAAAGGGAAATTAGATGGAAATGTTAAATTTTTATGTGTTAATTGTGTGTTATTTGAATTTTATAAACATGTACTATTTGTGTAATGAAAAATAAAAATGTTACTGTTCTGGTTAAATTGTATATTTGCAATAATAGTTTACTTAGAACTGATCATCTCTTCATAGAGTCTCTTAGAGATGCTAAATATCTGAATTCTCCCTCCAAAGGGAAAATTCCAAATCTTGTTCTGAAGAACTAATTGCAGTAAGACTTACTATTTTATTTATATTCACTAGAAAATTTTGGAATTAAGAAATAAACACTCCCATCAAGAATAACTTAATCTTAGTTGAACTTTTTATTTCATTCACCCTCATTATAATTTTCTACCTAAAATAGAAGAATCGTAGCAAATGTATAGATAATGTGAATTTTAAAATACTTGATATATGTAATCATTTCTTTTACTAATATTTTAGCAATAGCTTGCTTTTACTTATAAAAAGTTATACAAGCCACTTACAGGAGTTAAAGGCACATGCCTTGCACATGGCTGATCCTGGTTCAGGCTCAGATTCTATCAATACCTTAAGCATCTCCTCATGCAGCTCTCGAGTTCCCCTCTCCTCACCCTCCCCCAGGTCCTAGCACCTCCAAGTGTGGCCTGGAAGGCCCCAAGCACTCTTGGTGTAGCCCTCAGTAATGCCTTAACCCACAGGACTGAGCAGCACCATATCCTTGGATCCTAATATTTAACTGCTAGCCTGGGAGACTGAGAATTGCATCTTTTGAGGGATCCTGAGCCTGATGAACACTGCTTGGGAAACTAGCAGACCCTCTGCCCCAATTTTGTTTGAAAAATTAGGACCAGCTGAACAAAATTGGTGAGAAAATAAGAATGCATAAAGTAAACACTATGGATTTTATTTAATTTAAATTTTGATGTTTAAGTAGTATACACTTAGAATTTTAGTTTCTATTTTTTAATTCTTTTATAAAATACATATTCAGTTACGGAGGCACATATTTTTATACTTATTGCTAATAAATTTTAGTGTAATTATTGGTCCTATCAAGTTTGTAAGAATAAATTCTTAAGATGTTGTGGGAAGACCCAATAACTCCAATTGAAATTAGTAGGGAGATTATTTTAAATTTAACTTTAGGTTTTCTAATAAATAGTTTATATTTGAATTGCCTTAAATAGTAAAGCTCTAGTGTCCAATTTTTATAAAAAAGACAATTAAAATTATTAGAATAGTACGTGAATTTAAATATTTGAATTTAAATATTTTGGAAATGAGTGTGAAAAGGTTTTTTTCCCAAATAACTTTAGTGAGTAATATGGAGATACAATGTTGATATAATTACCATGGGCTTATCTGTTTTTATTTTACTTAGTTCCTAATTGTATAAGTCCTACAATTCTTAATAAAATTCAGTTAGTCAAAAATTTAAGTGTTTGCACAGAAAACTATTGGTACCACATATTTTTAATCCTTAGTGCTGAATCATTATTTAGGACTCAGTTTCTTTCTCTAATTCTGATGTATGTGTGTGCATATTTGTGCGTGTCTGTGTGTGTCTGTGTGTGTGTATCTGTCTCTCTGTCTCTGTTAAACCTAATGTTTTTCTGAAGCATTGTTTGAATCCTGCCCTCCACTTTGTAGCTATTCTTCAAGTGTAAATTGCTTAACAAATTTAAAGGTTTTTTTTTAATCTGTTAATTGGGAATCATGACACCTACCTCACAGGGTTGTTGTGAGGGAAAAGCTAATAAATCATAGGTGAAAGATGATTAGCATATGCCTGAAAAGTAGTATGTGATAAATGGGTGCTACTAAAACCTTTCAATGACCCCATTGTTCCTATGATAAAATCTAAATCCTCTCTCTTGGCATGTGTTCTGACTCCTTTATACCCTCAGTCTCTGTTTCTTTCATTGCAAACTGCATGTTTTGATAGTGAACTCCTTGTTGTTCCCCAAATATGTCTTGCTCTCCTTGGACCTTTGCCTGCAATAATGTTCTGATACCACTCACACACTCCTTTACTTTATTCTTAAACTACTTATCATATGTATAAACTCAGCCTGATCTGTCTGGCTTCACTTTAGTTCTATTCTTGGCTAAGATGTTTCCTACTTCATTTTTACACTTTTATTTTTAATATGACCTTTTATATGTTCTTATACACTTCGCTTATTCCTATTCTACCAGTTATCACATGCACTATAACTGCCATTCATTTGTCTATTTCTTCTGTAAAATCATTGAGGATGGATTCTATTTTAATATTTTTCCCTTTAGTACTTAACAGAATTTTTGCATTTGAGAAAGTTAATGGTCATTTATAAATATGGTCCCCTAAAGAAATTCATAGCAGAGATGGTTTAATTAATATTGCTTAAAATAACATAATTAATTTATAAAGGTATGTAGAATAGATTTCAAAGTCTACAATAATATCAAAGTAATAGCTATATAATTAGATTGCTTTGCCCAACATTTACTACTGTTAAATGATTTATTTAAAAGGATAAACTTACTCTACTTCAAGCAGAACATTATTTTAATCAAGGCTGAAGTGATAGTATGCAGATAGGGCATTTGCCTTGCACACAGCTGATCCAGGTTTGATCCCCAAAACTCCGTATGTTCCTCCAAGCCTTCCAGGAGTGATTCCTGAGTGCATTTAGGAGTAAGCCCAAAGCACCTCCAGGTATGGCCCCAAACAAAAATCATCAACAACAACAAAAAGAACATTAGCCCCCCCACCCCCCATTTTCATATCTGAAAATCCACATTTTTTGTTTTTGTTGTAGTGTTTTATTTTCTAGGGCCACATCAAGCAGTGCTCAGGGATCACTCCTTGATGCTGAGGATCAAATACAGATTGGACGTGTGCAAGTCAAGCACCTTATTTACTGTATTCTTTGGCCATTGAAATCACACATTGAATAATACTAAATTTTTCTTTTTGATGAATACTATTAACATATCTTTCATCAGCTGTTCCATTTTCTGCTCTTGTTATTTTGTCCCTTTTATCATTTAAGTAGGCTTAATTTT